TAAGTGAGAGTCACTGGCCTGTGGGCTGCTCCTGTGCCAGGCAGCACCTTCTGCAGCACAACCAGAGAGCAGCAGCAGAGCCTTTGCCCAGGCAAGGCTGAGGTGGCACAGCCGTGGTCCCACTCCATCACCCCAGTGAAGCCAGTCCTGCAGCAGCAACTGGCAGCTCACAAATGGCAGAACTGGGCACCTTCAAAAGGGGCAAATGTGAGGGTCCTGCCCACCACACAACCGAGGACAAAGCAACAGCCACAACAGCAGCCACTGACAGCCAAGGAAGTGACAGCATTAAGCCAATACTTGCTAAGCTGGGCCTTAAGAGCACGGAAGAGCCTTTCTGTTTCAGTGGGAGGGCGGCAGGGAGGTGCAGAGATGAGGTTCATACCCAGGGAGGGCATGGACAGAAACAGTTTGTTACTGTTCCTCCAATAATAAATAATCTCTGATCTTTGCTGCTGACAATCCTCTTTCCCTCACGGCTTCCCAAGCCCTCCACAATCACTCCCACTCCACTGCAGTGGGTGAACATCACCATCCTTGTTTTCTCAATGGGGACATGCAGCAAGAGCACAACTTTCCCAGGGCGCCCAGAGAGCTACAAAACCCAAACCAAACCGATTCTCCTCCCCCCGCCCTCCGTGTGCAGCCATCCCACGCACGGCAGCCCCGGCTCCTGAGCAAACACCCTCTGGAGCAGGAATTAAACAAAAGGCAGGCAGTAAACAAACCTCCGAAGGCTCGGCCCCAGAGACGGGAGCGCAGCCGCTCCCTGCCAGGGAAGTCAATAATGACAGGCAAGCAGAAAGGAAGGAGCTGGAAGAACAAGAGTCATTAGTGGAAACTTGTTGTTTGTGCTAATTAGATCATTATCTGGAAACTGTTATTGATGTTGCCATTTCAGCTCCTGCTGCTGTTCACAACTTTATTTTACCCGTGTCTATTGACTGCCCACACTCTTCCATGTCCTGCAGGAAGGGCTGGCGGTGCCAGGTGAGAGGAAGAGAGGAAAGGACTTGTACACCTCTAAGATTTCTGCCAGCACAGCTCCTCATCACGTAAATAATATTGATGCAGGCCCTGCACATGATCAGATTTCCCCACTGGTGGTATGAGCCATAATTGAATAACCTCAAACATTTGATTTTTTTGCCACATCTTCGAGGAATGAAGCCTGAATAACAGAGCTCCCAAGTTGACTGACTTTGATTTATTACAGTCACTGTTAACTCCTCCTGGAAACCACAGTCCTCCCTCACCCCCTGAGCGAGGTGTGCTGGGGGACCTGGGCTGATGAGAGGACAAACATGAGGCTCAAGACTCCAAACTACAAATCAGGGAGCTGGGTTTGCACCCATAACTCATATTCCCACTTTTTCCTGCTTGTTCACTGGTGTATCTGACCCTGACCTGCAGAAGGGCTTTTGTACTTCCACTGATGAGGTGTAGGAAGAGGGAAAATTGCATCACATCACCATAACACACTTTTGGTTTTGTCCTTTATCACAATTTCGTACCAGTTCTGCACTACACCTGCAGTGAATTGTAGAAGTATCAGAGCACTGTGTCCTCCTGCATCCCTTGCTGTGCAGCCAGGAGCCACTCCCAGTCCCTACCACTTGCTTTGTCTGGGACAGTGGTGAGGAATGGGAATAGTGGGAAACCCCAGTAGATGTGAAGCCACCCTGCCTTCAGCCTCCTCTGCTGTCCCTCCCTGAGCTCTGCTTAACTCACCAACTCACCCTGCTGCACAAAACAGAAACGTGCTGGAATAAATCACCTGCAAGTTAAAAGCAGCCATTAGCCATTAGCAAACACCACAGGCCCACGGGCCAGGGTAATTCAATGTGATATGCTTGGGCATGCAAGGTAATAGGTTCCAGCTGAATACCATGTGATACAATCTCTTCAATGCGAGGTTAAATGAGGCTGAGACAGAGACCAGATGGATTTATCTGGGTAGTGCTGATGATTTTTTGTGTGTGTGCTTAAGGTGAAGTGAAGGTAAGTAAGGCAGAAATAATTGGAGAGAAAAGCAGGAGCTGGGCTGCTGGGGCAGGGATAGCAGGAGGGACATCATCCTGCTGGAACAAACCCAGCGAGCAGGAGGATGCTCTCAAGGCACTACAGATGGGAACAGCCAGAGAAAAATAAATACTTTATCAATCTCCCCTTATGGAGGAACAACCAGAGGGCAGAGTGGGACAAGTGAAGCGTGGCTGGGCAGCTGTAGACACCTCACTGATGAGGTGCCAGCAGGATTTAGGAGCCCAAACACCATCTCTCATCCACCCAGGACCTCTGCAGCAGGAGAAGGGACCAAACTGGTCCCGTGCCCAGGCACAGCAATGCTCTCCCTCCCCGTGGAGAAAGCTTTTGGAACCCTCACCAAGGCAGGGACATGAGCAGAGCTATTACCTAAAAAATGCAAGGGCTCAGCACATTTGGGCAACACACAAGACTGCAGGGAAGGGGAGTTGAAATTCTGGACTCACTTGCCTCAAATCTTCATTAGATGTTGCTTTATTCTGATTTCTATCCAGAGAGGAATACCAGACCCAGTGTCTGATAAGGAGAAAGATTTCACTGGTATACAGTATCCATATCGTGTATGTCATAAATGGAATAATGAGTGCTGTGATATTCTCTGAAAAGAATATACAGAAAAGTGCTATTAAAACCCCAGCCTTTCATTTATTGTGTCTGTAGCTAGAGAGGTACCTCAGGATTAACAGATTATCAGTGCATTAGCATTCATGTTCTGGATAAAGTGTCTCTGGCCATTTACATGGGCACAGACTGGTAACTCAAAGGCTCTATGAAATTGGATGCTAAATAATATCCAGAGGAAATTGAATTAGACAGGAGGGAAGAGAAATGTGACTGCCATTAAGTCTCTAAAGAACATTCCTGGTTTATCCCCTCCCCCCTCTCTGAGAATAATATGGCATTCAATTTTCCAATTATATAAATACATGAACACTGGATTACTAGAGGCAGATAATTGAATATTTTGACTATTCTACAAGGGACCCTTCATATCTGAAGTGGGAGATGAATGGGCTGTGCTGCATCAGCCTGTGGATGCTCGGGCTATAAAAACCTCTACGAGATCCAGAGAGTATAAAGATCTCCAGCACAGAGAGAGATCTTATCAGTGTTCAGTATACAATAGTTAATTTATTCCACTGATATCAGGGTAAGTTATACAATAGCAAAACCTGGATAATTTAGGCCCCAGATTGTACTACTTGAAAGGTGCAAGGAAAGGCATTCACGGCCGCAGCATTTCCAACCCGGCTCCTCTGTGACTCTCTTTCCAGGACATCAATCACCAGATGAGAGGAACTGTAAGCTATTTTCCAGTAACACACTGCCAATCACAAGACAAATGTCAGATGTCACAAAAGGAGAAGTAACCATTTTTCAACTTGTGAATGTCTTCAAATATATTACAATGAAAGTGCGAAAAAAAAAATGACCCTTTCAGCTTCATTTGTTCTGACAGATGCCAGACCTTGGAGTTTGGCATTTTATCTTCATACTGCAATAATCTTTATGAAACTCAAACAAGGCTGAGGGCAGTGGCATTAGTCTACAATTGTCCTCTTATGTACAATACATAACATTTCAAACAGTCTGGCCGTTGAACTAAAAAAGATCATCTACTTCTATTTTACTGGTGGTACAGGAAAAGATAAGGAGAAGGGACCCCACACCTGAGATTAACACATGCTGGGGATGAGTTATGTGTGGGCTCAGCCCGACTCCTGCATTGCATTGCCATGCTGCTATTGCCACTTAGGAGAAACACATGCTGCTTAAACTGAAACCAGGGAAGAAACTCAAAGCACTCCCTGAAGAAAAAACTCACTCAGTGCCACGTGTGCATTTAGTCCATGACATGAAATGGGTGGGCTCCCCCTCACTGACACTGTGCTTCCTGAGTGGACACGTTTCTGGTGCACCAGCACTGGGACATTCCGACCTGGAGCTCAGGGAATGTTCTCCAATCCAAAGCTCAGTGCCCAGCTTAGAGCTCTGCCATTTCTGACAGGATGGAGGACACTAAAACATAAGCAAAGTCATTAACATTAAAGAGGAGAACAAAGGAGGAAAATCAAACTCAGATGTAGCCATACATAATAGTAATAAAATAAGAGACCACAAAGAGTTTCACTGAACAGCCCTGAAGTTCCCAGTTATTCCTGTCCTTATTATACGTGTCCTGTTATTCCAGCCAGTCTCTGTTGTGCTCAGCCCCCTAAGGAGCATGGGAAGTTATGGTTCATTTCCTGAAAAATAAAAGACTCCTCTGTACAATTCCAGTGGTATAGCCCAGCAGTTCTGACACAATATCCTATTAAACAATATAGATCTAATTTTTACAGACTTACACTGTTATTTAAGGGAAAAGAATTAAGAAAAAGTGCAAAGACACACAAAAATTCTGCTCTAGATGATACTGCAGGTCCCAACAGGGTAACAAACATGCAAATGGCAAAAAATAAACAAACCTAGAATACAGTTAGTTTAGGCTAAAGTCAGTGACAGGACTGGTTTCACTGGAATTTAAACTGTACAGCTTTCTGCAGAAGCAGTGCTGAGTCCCTGAAGACAAAACCTCAACTTGATTCACCAAATTTGACTTGAGGAAGTAAATTTTTTTTCTGTGAATAAGTGTGAGCTTATCAGTTCTGTGGAAGCAAAAGGATAAATAGCTTTAGTTTGTCTTTAAAAAACTAACAGTACTTGTCATGGCAAAGACATGTACAAAGAAGTAGAAGCCAAAATAGGATTTCAGTGTTTTAAGTCTGTCTTTAAAAAATAAGTACATAGACAATGACCAAATCTGTATCGATTCCAGCGTGTACAGTCAAGCCATTGAAAGAAGAGGGTCAAAGCCTGAAGTCTGACCACAAATGTAATTCCAGGTTTCAGTTTTCCAAAGTCTGGTATTTGAGACTGCAGCTCCTTCCTTGGTTTCTGTGACATGTCCTGTGCTCCCAAAGCAATGTAATTCCTTTGACACGAGCGTGCCTCTCCACCAGTGCAGCCAATCCCACGGTGTTGGTTCTCCTCTGGTGTTTTGGTCCTCCCCTTCCTGCCTGGTTTCCACGCACTCAGGAGGAAAGCACAGCGTGTCACGGGAGGGGCACCCACAGACAGGTCAAGAAACAGCCATTGCCAAGGTCATTATCTGAGAATGGCAGCCTGCAGAAGACTTTTCGAAGACCATAAATAAAAACCAGCTGAAATAAACAGCTGTGACTCTCAGATGGAGGAATTCAGTGCCTGTGTCTCCCCCAGCAGTTCAGGGACACAGCTGGGAGGGAACTCCCAGTCCTGTCCCGCCTAATTGCGCTGGGTTCTATAATCTGCCAGTTTGGAGGCCGTGGCCGTGCGGTTCAGGAGGGCTGGAGCAGCTGGGCTGAGGTGCAGCCCCTCGGCCTGGCAGGGCCCCCCCGTGCCCCCCCGGCGCTCCGGGACCCCCCAGCCCCACAGCAGGCGCTTCTCGTCCAGGGCAGCCAAGTGACACTCACAGAACTCGATCAGCGACAGCACCTGCTCGTGCAGGGGGAGGGACTTGTACTTCTTCTGAGCCAGGCAGAAGAAAGCTTCCACAAAGGCCTGCAGACACATTCCTGCAAGGAAAAGGGGGTTCAGAGCGCAGCGTTCCCTGGCATTCTTCAGGCATAATTCCACCTCCTGTTCCGTGTGCCAGCAAGACCAAATGTGTATGTGCTGGGTGTGGACACTACAGTCGTCCCAGTTAACACCTTTTCATTTAAATGGCAGCCCTCCAGAATGCTCAGAAAGAGCAAGGTTGTATTTGTATGTCACACACAAGAGCTCACAGAGTGTCTCAGTGCAGGGTGAGCCCAGCCTGGGCTATGGACAGTGATATTCCCTGTCACTGAGGCAGTTTCCTCAGCCTCAGGAATCCAGAGGCAAACTAGTACAGCAACAACCCATCTTAAGGCATTGTACCATTAAACTGCTGTGATATCAGCCTTGATTTCTGCTGCCTCAATTACCAAAACCAAATCAGACACACAGGAACATGCTGAGCACCAAGGAAAACAATCCAGTTGGAGAGAAAAGCAAGTCTATGGCAGCAACTGCATCGAGTCTTTTTAACCCTGTGTTTTCAGAGATGGCCCTAACCCAAAGTTCACACCAGTGTGCCATTTCAGTCTGCAGCACTGTAAAGATAACCCCATTACCAAGTATCACCTCCTAGAGATGTGAGTTCATTTGAAGTATTACTTCCCCTCTGCACAGGTACGAACCCTTGTGAAGGTGAGGAGGCCAATCTGTTCAGCCAAACCCAGCAATTCCACAACAGTGGTTTTGTTTCAGCTGAATGAAAAACAAACAGCTGAAAGTGTGCAGTGCCAAAAAATGTCTCTGCTATAATAAAACTCTGCCCCTTCACAAACAAAAGTCCCCTGCAGAAGCCACCTGCTGCAGTACAGACTCTTCAGGTGTTGTTCCACCACATCTCACTAATAACACATTACCACAGCCAAGGGGAAGAGGGGCTGTGTATTAACACTAATTATTGTATTTAAAACCTCAAAGTAATACCTACTCGAGATCTTAATTAAGAAGCCAGACCCCAATTGGTTGTGCAGAATGGCAGCCACAAGGCACAGTTAGAGCTGCTTTGTGCTTTAACTGGCTCTCCCAGTTTGAACAGACACTTAAGAAGATTATTTTAGGACGAGATATTGAAAGGTTTGGGGTTTTTAACTTAGTGTTGGCTTACTGATGCTGCAGGAAAGGCACCTTTTCAAAATGTGACAATTACATTCTGAAGTATAATTTCTCTCAACCAAGGCTGCAGCTGGGGTCGTTTACAATCTTGGCTGTAAAACAGCTTGCAAAAGAATTGTTGAGTTATCTGAAAGCAGCAGCTGCCAGCTCAGTAAATTTTTTTATCAGTCATGGTGAGCTGCAGGCAGGGAAACCACCTCTGGTAGCACACACACTTTCTCCCCCAGAAGTGACACTCATGTGAAGCATATCATGAAAAAAGTTAGAAGCTGCTGTTTTAGAACAACAGAATTGTGACTGTCATGGTTAGAGCTGGGAGTGGGCCAAACACAAAGCCAACAGGAACAGGTGGGTACTTTGTCTTTTAACACCTAAAAAACATCTGGTTCACTGAGATTGTCAATAAATCTCCTAATTTCTGAAAGCCTGAAGATTCAGTTCCATGCCTACTACTTTTGCTAGTGAAATTTTATCAGCTAACCACAGAAAAGACAGACCCACCCTGAACTGCTAAATGCAAATACTTGTATTTTACACACCTGGGAAACTGAGGTGACCCCAACCTACCTAAAGTAGTACTGCTCTGAAGGGTAACTGCCACAGAACTAACCATAAAAATTGGCTGTACACGTTCATGCCTCAGGTGCACATGCCTTGTTCCCATTTTATTGAATGTCTGAAGTGTGCTTAAGCTACCAAAATTGGAAAAAATAACCCCAAAATCCAGCATCCATAGTTTTGGAATACAAACCTGTGTTACCTGATTCTTTGTGGTCAATTCCCATGCTGTTCCACCTCCTTGTGATATCAATGTATAGGATATCTACAGCAGCCATTGAAAAATTGCTGTTACTCAGTTTGCAGTTTCTGTTAAAAACAGACAAAATAAAGAAGAGATCCTGATTACATCCAAACTCACAAGTAAGGAAAAATTCTGCAAGGGCAACTGGGAGACCATGTTTGCAGACCCACTGTAACCTGCTCAGTCTAATAACACACACAGAGCAGATATCAAACAGACTAGCACTCATTAAGTGCTCGTATCTGAAAGACAACAGGCCCAAACTCGGAATATTTCAATTAAAAATATGACCTGACTGTTACACAGAGCTTTCTCCCAGGCTACTGCCAGTACTCTGAGGCTGTAACAGAATGGAATTAACTGGTCCATTGTGAACCCCCCCCAAATCTGCACGAGGCAGAGTTTGCACAGTGAAATACTCTTTTATTTGTCTGATTGATTCTGTCTGAAAAGGGGTGGAGGAAAACTTTCAGGCACAGCATTGCTTCTCCACGCCTGAACACAGAAGGGATTTACCCTGGTGGTACTGAACACTGCCTGGAGAGCAGCAGCAGCCTGGATGGGCTGCTGGGGCTGTGGAGATCTGACACTCCTGTGTGCGGGTCCGCAGTGCGGTGCTGATCAGAAGATGGGAACTGGATGTGTGTCCAGGATTTCCAGATGTCTGGCAGCCTGGCTGCCACTAGTGCACATGCCAAAGAGCTGGCCAAAACTTCTAGCCAGAAAAGAAAAACAAAACAAAAAAAAAACCCACCCCAAACCTGGATAACTGAAAAGGCTCTCGCCCTACAAACCTCAGCAGAGCTCCCTTAAAACAGAGAGCAAGGTCTGGCCTAGATAGTCCCAAAAAATCTCAGGCAGCACCCAAGCAAGGACTAGACTCACATTCAGTGTTTCCCTTTTAGTTATTTTTTTTAGAATTAAGAAAATATTGAAGGAGGATAGATTTTGATTAGCCAGAATTTGGGTGGACAGTCTGTGCAAGCATTTGCCCACACACTTGTGCCCACACAAAAAATCCTGCTTGTGGAGCATTTTATTCCTGAAAAGTGATACAGCTCACAGAAATGTGACCTTCCTTCTGAAATGAGCAGCAATGACAGCACTTCAGAAAAGGGCCATATAGCTGGTATAGATCCTCTGGGAGGAAATAAACAAAATATCTGCCAATAATAAAAGGTTGAATTTAACATGCATTAAGAAACTGCAAATCCTATTTCATTGAGATAAGAGAATTTATTTGAATATTCTTAAAAGGAAATGCTGGCATTTATTCTGTGTTCCTGACAAGTGCCAAAATAAGGCTGGATTAAACAAGAGAAAATACAGAACTGGATGCAATCCTGTGCTGGTCTGTGGATAGAGCAGATGCCTTCAGTCATTTTCCATATATCGTAATTTGTATAAACCAAATTGTTTATATTCATTCCTGAATGCTAAATGCATCTGCATAGAAACAGGATCAGTGTTTTAAGAGTACATCTGCTGCTGCTGCTCATTTCTTTTGTCATAGTCAATCAAAGACAGAAAATGAGATATTTGGACCATGACTCGAACAGATATACCCATAAAAAACAACGAAAAAACCGTCCTAAGTAAAAAGAACGTGAAAGAAATAAATTGAGTTCCTTGTCATTGCATGGTGCAATTTCACAATGCAAATCCTTCGTGCACAGTGCATCAGGAACTGGCATTTGGGAATCCTTCCCGCGGGCTGGGGCGCACGGCTGTGCCCCCACAGCCGCCACAATCACATCAAGTGACCCAATTTCAGTTGTCACTGTCTCACAATGGTATTTCTCCGATTTACTGGGAACGTGACATGTTGACGAAGGCTGCAAATTGTATCTGCCCAAGTATCACTGATCTGCTGTCAAATAAAGGCCCCACTCCCCACCAGACACGGATTCATAGGTCAGGTATTTCAGGGGCTCGGAATGACAAAAATGTATCTATTTTACAATAAAACAGGCAATGTTAGAAGGCATCACAAAACCTACAAGTGCACCACTATTAGGGCCAGCTTTCATCCAACCAACCTTATAAAGGTCCGGAATCCCGTCGGCCCCAGCTTGGTCGTGCCTTTGACCCCCAGGAAGCGGATGAAGAGCGCGGCCACCCTGTCCACGAGCCGCAGGTAACTGAACTGCTTGGCGTACTTGGGGAACACCTGCTTGAGGCACAGGGAGGGCAGTCCGGCCTCGGGGCTCCGGGGACCGTCCGGCTCCGGCCGCTCGGCCGGCACCGCATCCGGCAGCGACTCGCTCGATTCCGGCACGTGCTCCAAGCGCGGACACCTGCGGCACAGGATCACAGAGGGGCTTGGGTTGGGAGGGACCAAGGCTCATCCCATTCCACCCCACCTTCCACTGGAGCAGGCTGCTCGTGGGACTTGTGGGACTCGTGGGACTCGTGCCACCGAGTCACCGCTGCACGGGTGGGACCCTCACACTGCGGGTCACAAAGCACCCGCTCTGCTAACAATATTATAATGTTGTAGAACACTATTGCTACAGAATTTTAAACTAATGCCACTTCTTCTGTATCCACACTGATGTTGAATGTCTACAAATGTGATCGCTTTTGAGGCAAAAGTCTAAAAAATCTTTAAAAACAAATAGCAAATCTTGGGCAGTGCTTTGATAAAGTCCCTCTTTGCTGCAGATAGCAAAGTAGAAAAATGATGTTATTTTTGTCATTAGCTGAGTGAAGCTTAAAGTAACAAGTTATTAGTTTTGTTCCTGCTCATGTAAGATCGGATGGTGCTTTCACTGCCATCAAACACCTGCCAAAAGAGTGAGAGGATGTACAGCCAAGACACAACAAGCACACAGGCTTCTATTTTTAATCTTAAAAGGTCTGTTCGTGAATCTAAAAATTCAAATCTTCAGCCAGTTGAACCAGACCTTGACCAAATGTGAAACCTTGTCCTCAGCAGGAGAGAGGGTTGTGCTGTTTGGAACATAATCTCGTTTTAATGACACCTGGAAGCCCCGAACCCTTTCTCATTCTAAATTCAACAGCGTTTTGGATTGTACATTATTCATTCATCGTTAATGTATTTAGTTAAAAAATATAAAGCTTTACTTTAAAAGGCACAGAGCTGAGGAAATTTCATTTTTTATAGAAAACACTAAAGAGACTGTTAAAGGCATCAGCTTCAGAGGAATGAATTCTGCCCTCAGTGCTGCCTGGCCATGGAGTGAGGCTGGAGACTTCTCCATCCCCCCTACTCATTGAAACAGGACTTGTGGAACAACAGTTCCTCATCTGCAAACCTGTGCTTTCTTCACAAATCTGTACCTGAAACACCTCTTAAATTCATATTTCTTATTAGAAAGGTATCAGTAGCTTTTTTGTGTGCTACTGCAAGTCTCATTCCTTTCCACTTATACATTGGGAAAGTCTGTAAAAATATTTAAATCAGAACAAGAAAACTTAATTTAGTCTTCACTGCCAAATCTTGTATTTCCATTCAGTGAAAAAAAAAAAAAAAAAGAATATACTTCTTCATTTGCTTTTGCGGGTTACTGCTTTTATAAAGTTTAATGATTTGTTTTCATTCTTTAGCTTCCTCCCCCAAGATTTCCTTACGTTTCCTTTTCTAATGCACTAGAGCTTAATTAATATGACCATATAATGTGAATTCAAGTGAAAGGTGTATTTTGCACTTTTATTGAAACTCAGACTTTTCAAAGCAAACCTGCACAGGAGCTTGTCTACACCTGCATTATGAACTGACACACAGACTTGCCTGTTCTGCACACTCACCTTCACTGACTCACACCGATTATATTCAGGTACAATTCTCCACTGCTACCACAGGCACTACCTCAATGCAAGTTTATTCTCTGTATTATTCAATTGGTATGCCCCCACCTCGATGTGGTCTCAACACAACTAATGAAGACAAACTGCCTGGGTAGGTACAGCCAGGCACTGTGTCTATAAATACAGAATTTTCCTGTGATCTGCATGTCTTTGTAAGGAATCAGTGCACAGCCTTTTTTTTGCCCCAGCCCTTAGACAAATTACACTCCTTGCAATGCACCATTACGTTTTCCCCTGCATTTCACTGCCATCTGCCATCCCCACACCATACGGGTGAGGGCGATGACAGAACTCCCCAAGGGTCACGCAGTCAAAGACCAGCGTGAGCTCCTTCCTCAGAGCAGAGAAAGGAGGGGGAAAAAAGCACAGAGAAGGAAAGATTGTGTGAAGAGTGCAAGAGGAAGGAGCCACAAAGAGCAGAAATACGGCTCCAAGTCCAGCAACAGTGAAAATGTGAGGGGGATTTTCATCTCCATGTCTACCTTTAACTCATTATCAACTGGAAAATACAGAAGTACACATTTTTGTAATCTTATCTGTCATGGAATCACAGAATGGTTTGGGATGGAAGGAACCTTAAAGGCCATCCAGTCCCACCCCTTGCCACGGGCAGAGACACCTTCCACTAGCCCAGGTTGTGCCAGCCCCGTCCAACCTGGCCTTGGACACTTCCAGGGGTGGGGCAGCCACAGCTGCTCTGGGCAAACTGCCCCTGGAGAAGTCCTGCAATGGGGTTGTGGAGGAGGGACCAGAAACTCCCCATCTCCAGAGAGAGAATCCTGCCCGGGTTCCCTCCATTAGCTCCTCTCTCACGGAATTCCCAACAGGCAAGGGGAGGAGAAGGAAGCTGAGCCCCACACTTTAAAGCTGCTCGTTAGAATTAATTGTTTTGACTGACATAGCTGAGTCAGGCAAATGAATGAAAGGTCAAATATAAGGTAATGCTTCTGTTGCCACCCAGAAAAAAGCAAAGCTTAATTTACATACTAATGTCTGACCTCAATACATTAATTTCTCTAATTCTGCAGCTTATGACAGATCTTTCTTTAGAAATGATCAACTGTGGAGAAAATATTAACTGCAGCTTTAAAAAAAAAATTTAAATTTTAATAAAGCTTGTGGAAATGACATCTAAGACTACTTATCTTTTATACATGATTACTAATTTATTAATGTTTCCGCCATCTATGTTTTATCCTTTTCACTCTGACCAGCCTTAATCTTTATGCAAATACAAGTTGCTAAGGGACAAACAAATTTGCAACTACTAATTAAGGGCTTCAAAATTCACAGCATTTTGTATACTTGCACATAAAATTTCACTCTCAAATTCTCAGTCAACTGGGGTAAGAATCACAATATTAATATTTCTAAGAATGCTCACTTGCTATATTTTACATTTAGGGCATTGCTAGAAGTATAAATTAAGCAATTTCGGTATCAGCTTACAACTGCTTACCTAATAAAAGAAAATATTATGTTCTGGATTCTGAAGCTATAATTATTCCCTCAGCTGAGCCTCTATTCTCCAAGCAAGGGCTATGTTAACATAGTTAAAACCAAAGAATATTTTGCATGACAAATCTATCTATCCAGCCATTTATCACCACAGAATATGGACCTCCCAAAGAACAGATCTGTGTTAGTACCTGGAGCGTGTAGTTATGAAATGTTTGTGTTCTCATTCACAGAAATAAATCATTTAGAAAATCAAGGCAAAGCCTGAGCAGTGTCTCTGCATTATCAGCCATTCATGAATTTGCTTTTATGAACTAATCCCATTACTTTTATTAACACAGACTTCCAGCACTCCCAGGATGTCATAGCAAGAACAGTTTCATGGTTTGCCTGCACGTTGTGTGAGTAATCAGCTTTTGTTTTGTTCCGGCCACTGGTGAAGTGTCATTTGAAGAAACTGAATATTCATCCCCTCTTCGCCCTCTGGCAAAGTAAAAAAACATCAATAGCACAAGTATTTCCTCCTTTCAAAATAATAACACAGTTGTACAAAGATAAAAGTATTAAAACAATGTTAAACCCACGGAGTAAGAGATTTTTGACGTTATGTTAGAAAAATTATTGCTCTTACATAGAGTTATTCAACACTTGGAGAATGCTTTGAGGCAGGCAAAGCAAGCCCAGTGAAGAGTCCATATTTCAAAGAGCAGAATCCATCAGATTAAACATAAGGATTGATAATCACCATGTTGTTGGCAGACAACGAACTTCTGATCATACCAAATACATTTTGAAAACACAGCAGCTGTTCTGTCTCTGGGAAGCACAAAGTGCTGAAAGCAGAATTTCAATCTCTCTCTGAGAGAAAAGGACCCATATCTCACTTAGAGAAATAAATTGGGTACATCTCTTCCCTTAGATTTTAATGTTATTGTGAGCACGAGCAGTTGAATTTCCCTTGCAGCTTCCAGGTCTGGAATGGTGTTCACTGCGGAAGGGAGAGTTGGCAAAGGCATTTTAGGTGAATCCATGGATCAATTAAAAATGTATTCCACAGCTTTGGCATTTGCTTAACAAGACCAGAACAATTCATCAGACTCTTGGAAAAGTTAAACCCCTGCAGCCTGTCAGAGCCATCACAGCAGCTCTCACCCGCAGCGTCCGCCCCTTCCAGGCTTCCCATTCCTGTCCCAGGAGTGTTAGTTCCTTGCCACAGCCATCAGTTCCCTTTTGGAGAGGGATGGTTCGCTGCCTCTTCAGATTGATGGATTTATTATAAAAATGAACACTTCTCATTAAAGATTAAATGGCTTTTGGCAGAAAACAGACGACTGGAAGTTTGCAGCCTTCGCACGGTGTTAACGAGCCTTTCCAAGATGCAGGAACTTGGCGTGGATCCTGATCTGCTCCACACCGAGGACACAAAGCCATGGATGAGAACACTACTGACGATTTCATTTCGTATGCAGAGAAGACTGGAGCTCTGGTTTGAGAGATTTCTGTAGCCTTCCCTAACACGTAGTTTAAATCATTAAAGAAGAAATGCATCTGAGGAATCTCAGGTGCTGAAAAAAAACCCAGCTATTTCCTAATTATTAATTGAGTTTACTTTACTTCCAACATTAAGAATAATGGTGATATCAGTCTGTATTAGCTACATATTTATTACTTTTAATGTAACAGAAGCAGTGAATGCTTATGCTATTACCTGTCAGCTGTGAGTGCTGCAGAAAATATGGCATTACTGTAATGAAATAATGGATAAGCAATGCATATCCTGCACCCAAAGACTTCATTCCACTGTAGCAAAAAATTATAATAGAACAAAGATCATTAAATATAGTCCCTGATACTTTATTTTTTGTGGAGGGAGCTGTTATTATTCCTAGTAGATTTATTTGTGTTCACTATTTGCTTTCAAGGTACTTATGTGCCTCATTATTTCTCCAGAGTTTCTTTTGTTACTTTAGAAAAATGTTCCTGTAAAATAATAATACAGGATAGTGCA